TATTTAAGCTGTGACCTGATATTGATCCATTTGGTGAAGCACAATAGTCAATGAATGTTTGTATTTGATGTGTCAATCAACTGAATTTGGCCGAAATCTTTCAAATTCAACAATTGTGGAAGAACATGTGTTTTCATAACTAAAATGAACCATAATGACATAATTGACAGAACAGGACACGGATATACCAGATCATTTCGTACGTGTTTTTACTCATATCAAGTTATTCCCACCTTAAAATACAGTTTCTGAGGAGGGACATGTGTATTTGATGTAACACTAAAACATTATGGAATAGAACTTGCAAGATTAAGACAAGAACTTGCGATTTAACAAGAAAATCAATATATAATTCTTTACTAATATTAATATGTCCGTTGTATGATAATGTATAAAAACAGTTCATGATTAATATGATATTCATTACCCTAGTGTACCAACATTTGTTTCATTAATGTCAAGTAACAATGTAGTAATAAGGAAACAACTGTCAATGCTGTGAATCTAAGAAATTTCAAATATGTCACTTTATAATTACTGTACAACTTGTACACCCGCCACATGGCCCTTTCAGTATAATACTGGCAGTGAGTGAGTGAGTATGGATTTACGCCGCTTTTAGCAACATTCCAGCAATATCACGGCGGGGGACACCAGATTGTGAGTATCTGAGATCAGACACCTTTCACAAATGCAATGAGTACAGTATTGAATTCATACGTGACTTGTGTGTCGACACCTGTTCACTGCAGGCGCCAGGTAACACGGATGGATAAGGGGCTTGTCTTGCTATGGTTTACACTTCTGAAGCGTCGAGGGCGGTCGGGAAGCCTAGTGGTTAAAGCGTTCGCTCGTCACGCCGAAGACCCGGGTTCGATTCCCGACATGGGTACAATGTGTGAAGCCCATTTCTGGTGTCCCCCGACGTGATATTGCTGGAATATTGCTAAAAGCGGCGTAAAACCATACTCACTCACTCACTCACTGAAGCGTCGAGGGAATGTGTTCCTGTAACCTATACCAATAATGTTCTTCCACGTTGTATCTATTTGGGGAATCGAACCGAGGTATCTGTCGTGCGAGCGATTTCGTATTGTTGTACAATAGGTTTCGGCATATTCTTGAAAGATCATATATTGTACAAATTTGGAGAATCGAAACCTGGTCATCCAAGTGACACGCGAACACTTTAACCACTATGCTACCCAACCGGTAACCGTTCAGGGTGTCGATGGCCAAGGACAAGTAGGCAGGATCGAGCTAAAACGGTTTGCAGCAAACCTTTATTACGCTATTGAGTTATTGGGAGTTACGGGAGAGACGATTAGAAATCATCAACATGTAGCTCACCTTCTTGCTCGACGGCCACATGTGTTGCCTCTTACAAACAGTCATATTGCCAACAGACGTCAAACGTTTACACAACATCGAAACTGGGGTAATCGAAGCTGGCCTCTGGTAAATCAAGCTTAAACGACGGATCAAATTGCTGTTGACTTTCATCAAGGTCAGTTAGAAACGACAAGATGCAGTTCATCTCCATGCTCGACGGCCATGCGTTGTGCCACCCGTTACAAATCGTCATAATGTCAAGCGAACAGACGTCAATGGTGTACACAACGTCTAAACGGTCGCTGGTCATGTGTCCTGTTTTCAGATGAGTTTCGATTCGCCTTGCACTTCCGTGTTTGGTGACATCAAAATGAACGTCAAGCCAATGTCAACCTGATACCTCATGACAGATTTGGCAGTGGATCGGTAATGGAGGTGGTCATTCCCTCCATTTAACACGTATGGGGCATGATCGAGAGACGTGTGCGTCAAAGTCATCGGACGCCGACTACATCCGCCGAACTTGTCAAGGCGCTGCAAGATTAATGGGACAGACAGCCTCAAATCGCCATTGGGAGACTCATAAGTAGTATGATGCGTGGAGTGGACGAATGTTGCACTACTGATACTGTCACTACTGGTTGCTATGTATTCCTAATTTGTTAACTATCATCATACAACTATCACTGGAAACCAATAACTCTTACAATATTTTTTTATATTTGAAGGTATTTCCGAGTATTCTCTACTTATTTTTGGTATACTATTTTTCATAATATGGCTTTAGCAATAGTTAACACAATTTCTTTTAACTGAGTGAGTAGGAGAGTGTTGGGTTTAAGCCGCTTTCAACATCATTTCAGTTATTTTACGGGCGTGTCAGCTTGATGTGGGAGGAAGGTGATGCAGGTCTCAGACGTTTACCACTTTGGTGAAACCCAGTCTTAAAGACATGTGGTATTGGGCAAGTGTTACAAGTGCGTCACATCGGATTTTGCGTATGGCAAAATAAAGTAGCTTACACGTGTTTCAAGGATCATTCATACAAAGTGTCTCTCTACCTAGGCATTCCACTGAAAGACAGTCCACATCCCATCTATGACGTAGATGTAGTGGAGCAGCTGACCCCACCCTGCATTGTGTTATCCAACCACGCCATGCCGTCACCTATCCCAAGTCAAATACCAGGACACTCTCGGCTGAAGGGACACGGATGCTGCGAGTTTTTGTTTTCAAGAGAAAACGAATGCGTGAGGAGCTAATGGAGGGGTCGTCACCCGGAGCGGCCGGAACAGTCTCTGATTCCGAAGTCTTTCATTATGACCTGGATCACCACTTTCTGAAACACGCTGTCGCTGCGTCTACTGACCGTCCCATTCTCTTCTTTACGATGAACATAGGCCTCATGAATATCTACCATTTATTAACTGCGCGTATCAACATAATATTATTCTGTTTGTCTTGCTAGCACATACATCCCACTTGTAACCTATGGATGTGGGATATTTCGGTCCCCTTTGCAGGGTTTACAACAACCATAGACACAAGTTCATGCGGCCATGCTACCGGATCTATAAGCAGACATTCAATGTGTCATTTGGCCTGTCAAGCCTATTCAGTGTAACCGACTCCAGCGAATCTACACGCCTCTCTCATGACACGCTGGCTGCTATGACCAGAATTAACTTTGCCCTTTCAATTGTTTTTCAAGATGACAAATGTCAGTTATATAAGACCACAGTGTGGCATTTTTTAGCAGAAAACCAAATGTTCTAATGGAGAAACCACAAAGAAACATAGAAAAGAAAAGTCTTCAGAGCAATGGTTGGGGACAAGGAGATGTTGATTCTTGAGAAACCAGGTAAACCATCCTCCATCCTCCAAATGGAAAGGTTGGAAAGAGGCAGAATAAACGTGAGCACATCGAGGTTACTCTTGCGTCGTCCCGACATCGAATCGTCTGATTTAAATGACGAAGTCTACTCAGACGAACTTTGCTGCCAGTGCCACAAAATCCATCCCGAGGAACTCCGAGTATGTGCGTCCATGGTGTTTTGCTTCCTGTGATCATTGGGTACATTTAAAAGTGTGTACCCCTGCGAAGGTAGTACGTGTGCACTTTTGAGTATTTAAACGTTTTTGGATTTGAGCCGTTTTTTAATTCACCAGAATGACCATAATTACATTTTCAATACCACACATATTTTTGTAAAATTACTCATTTAACGGATCACTTGCAACGATGACCAAATTTGTAGCCCTCCAAGCACACCATATTTGTTCAAAGGAGGTCACTGTTGGTCAGCCTATCATCTGACCGAAATCCGATGACGTCGCTTTCAAAAAGTTTGTTTTGGTAGCTTCGTTGTAACAAAAGAAAAAACTAAAGTTAGCAGGTGACGTAACACTGAGTTCCATCTTTATTCATTTATTGGGCGCGGCAACTGCAATGTTTCTCATTTGACCGAAAGACGATTACACAAAGATAATTGCGTTTAACTGCGCTAGAACCAGCAGTGACATTTTAAAGCCGTGACATTTCGATGTGTGACTCATTGTTGATTTTTACCAAGAAAGAGCTCAAGGTATGTGTATGGTACTGTTCCTTCAACAGTGTGATAAACGGCAATACTTGATGGGTTTCATTTTTGTTCAGCTATTTCGACTGTTACTACATGTGAATATTACATCCAATGTGTTTTGAGTTACGCTTCTGTAGGACTGTACATTCAATTGTTCAGACAGCATGTTGCTGGTTTGTTTCCTGTACCCTAAGGCATTCTATGTGTTGACTTCAGCCACAAAGGCGCGGCAATCTTAATCTATTTAGCCTCGATGTGAATTCATTTTGGGACGATATGTCCTTTTCTGTGTTGTGTAAAAGCAGGAACGTCACATTTAGATACCCTAGTTTTATACACTTAATACAATCAGGGAAGGCAGTGTTGAGGTTCTCACGACCTAATGTCATGTTAATTCCGGTCGACGTTTATTTTGACTAGACAGGAGCTCACCGACACTGTAGCAACAGATGGAATTTGATAAATACCAATAATCTTTGTTTGGTTTATGTAGTGGTGACGAAATATCAGGGAAATCATAATAAACGTTGTATAATTCCATATATGGAATCATAATGTCATTTTTGCCTGATATGTACAATATATTGCAACTAAGAACACACATGCCCCCAAAATATTTAAGTATGCATTCTGTGTGTCATAAATATAACAGCCTCTTTGCATCACAGGATGTGGGTTCAGTTGTGGCAGATGTGTGTTAAATCACCAGGACATTGTTGTACTGAGATCAACAATGTTTAGCGGGAGTACCCCACAGTGAGAGAATATGACAGGTGTTCAGACATGTGACTTTCATGTTTCAGTGACGTTGTTTATCAGTACAAAGCTATAAATACAAAATGTCTCTATGCTGGTTAAATCTCTTATTCACTGTTATAATGTAATAGCTTAGGACAGTACCTGGAGCAAAAAAGCAAACTAGCTGCATTAATTTTAAAAAATGATATGAAACATTATATCCAAAAGTTTAGTTTGCATTGTTGGGGACACACAAATGAAGAGAAACGAAATAAACATTGAACTATTTAAAACAAAATACTTTTAATTCGGAGACTGTTTGCAGTCTACACCAATCTCTATCTCCGTGGTACATTTACCGACGTGCACCTGTCACATTCATCCAAGACTCCAACACTGCAACGGTGAGTTGTTGCATTTTTTATAGAGAACCATGGTCAAAACGCGCTCAGACTTTTAACAATATCTTCATGTCTCCACTGCTCAAAATAACACTACAACAATGAAGCTATTACTTTGTAGAGATCAATTAAGAAAACATATGGATAACTTTACCACTGTAGATATATCAATATCAACAGTATCATGTATACCACAATGATTGTGTCCACCTAATACCTCTTGTTCCTTGAAACAATAAGAAATGTTTCAGGAAGTCATTGTTGTAAAAAAATAATACTAGTTTTGTTTTCATAATATGTTTGTTTTCTCCTTTTATATTACGTAAATATTTAAACCGAAATGTGCAATATTCTCATTCAGGATTCGACTGATTTTGATAGAACCACAAGCAAAAGCCAATTTGTTTTATCTTCTGAGTTACACGTGCGCTTTATCACCGTTCAGGTTACTTACATCAACATGTAGGGGGCACGGGTGGCCCAGTGGTCTAAAGCGCCGCGATTCGCTGTGCAGAGTTGCGTCCCTTGGGCACGCCAGAAACCTATGATTTAGGGTTCGAATCCCGGTTCGCCCCGACTATGTTTCTAGGTTTGTCAGCACCATACCCGTGCTCGTGGGTTTCACCGAAGTGGTAAACGTATGAGACCTGCATCACTTCGGGATTTCCTCCCACATTAAGCTGACACACCGTGATATAACTGGAATAATGTTAAAAGCGGCGTTAAACCCAACTCACTCACTCACTCACTACTACAAACTTTCGTTGCGCCGTGTTGATCCTCTGGATCGATCATAATGGCTACATAATGATGTAAGAAAAATCTATTTCTGTTTTTCACGAGTATCCTTCAACTTTAAAACTATTCCGTTTTTATTAAACTTTAGTTGCTTCATTTTTCGGGTGTAATCTCCGGTCCAAGTTTTCGACGATACCCAAGGACATTGTTTACTCTTCCCGCGTGAACAAGATAACGTCACCATACCCTGGTGAGTGTTCTAAAGTTCACAGTAGTTAGTTATGTTGATAACATAGCTATGTTCTTCGTCCCTGTTCAGAGCTATTTGAGATGTTGAACGTTAGTTGAGCGTTACAGTTAGGACAGAAGTGAACAAAGTGAGAAATTTCCTGTCGAGCGTACAAACGTTTACGGATGGTTATAATTAATGTTGTTGATTATGACACGCATTGTAAAAATAGATCTACTGACACTGTGTGATTACTAGTGTAAACATAGCATACGACTACAAGTTGTCTAGCCACATGATTGACAACTTACTTCCGTGTTGCCAGAACATGGTACACGGTATTGTACAGCCAGTGATTGACCTAGATAGCAAAGAAATGTTAGGAGATAAATGTTCATTCATCTGGCATTTTGCGACCGAATGTTGATGTGGATTATCTTGGATTATCTTGCGAGCACAGTCATGCCAGTTTATTTCTAGTTTTGCTCATATCACATCGTATTTCATGGGAATTATAGGCCTAAATTGCCATGTTGTGTGGAGCGGTTAGAGGTCAAGGGTAAAGTTTCGTCAAAGTTATGTCGTTATGTTGTGTTTCAATGTTGTGCGAGCCAAATTAGCCTGTATGTAACAGCATTTGCCAATTTTCACGCTTGGATGTAGGGAAATACCTTGTTTGTATCGGTACAGTTATTTAAGGAAATAACTGTGGAATGAATGAATTTTAACAATGGTTATGCTCTGTATCAATATTGTGTTAGTCAAGTTAACCCGCAGTTAACACATATTGTGAGTTATGTATGGAAACACACTGTTGTGTCAAAGTTGTTCAGGGAAATAACTGTAGAATATGATATAGATACAGGTATTATCATCCGTTAAAGTCCGCTTCAAAATTGTCATGTATCATGTTTGCTATGTGGGTGGTGTTGCAACAAGTATTTAGGTCAATAACAGTTGCATGAACGGATGGTATAATATAAGTGGTGCAGGAGCACGAGGGGTACATGGAGCTTTATGCGTCCCGCGTTAGGTTTTATACCACGAGCCGGAGGTTTCATACCACGATCCAGAGAATCAACACGGGGCACAAGAAATTTTATAGCATGCCTCCTGGGTCCTGCATCGTCGGCTGCGACGTCAATGGTGTCAAGGTCACAGAGTATGGCCACGACCGCGAGCTGCAACTGCGGAGAACACTTTGATTTAGTGACAAGTCACGTTTTATGCGGGTGGAGGACGTCGTGTTTACAGGCATCGCGGATGGAGGACGTCGTGTTTACAGGCATCGCGGATGGAGGACGTCGTGTTTACAGGCACCGCGGGTGGAGGACGTCGTGTTTACAGGCATCGCGGATGGAGGACGTCGTGTTTACAGGCATCGCGGATGGAGGACGTCGTGTTTACAGGCATCGCGGATGGAGGACGTCGTGTTTAACAGGCATCGCGGATGGAGGACGTCGTGTTTACAGGCATCGCGGATGGAGGACGTCGTGTTTACAGGCATCGCGGATGGAGGACGTCGTGTTTAGAGGCATCGCGGGTGGAGGACGTCGTGGTTACAGGCATCGCGGATGGAGGACGTCGTGTTTACAGTCATCGCGGGTGGAGGACGTCGTGGTTACAGGCATCGCGGATGGAGGACGTCGTGTTTACAGGCATCGCGGGTGGAGGACGTCGTGTTTACAGGCATCGCGGGTGGAGGACGTCGTGTTTACAGGCATCGCGGGGAACGTTATGCAACGTTGTTCTACCATAACGACAACTGATATTTAATTCCTAACACACACCTTTGTTGTCAATTTAAGTTGACTAATTCAGTATTTTAAAGAATATAATATGTGAATCTGTGTCTGATGTTGTTATTTTAGACCCGTGAATATCTGGTTTAGAAATGATCTTCAGCAAGGGAAGGTAACATCGTATCCCAATTGAGATAGATAGATGCTCATGAGATCAGTCACTGAATTGACTGGTTCAGACTCGATTAATAAGAGACCGCCGTCGTGCAGCTGGAATAGTGCTGATTGCGGTGTTAAACAAAAAACAAACAAATGTTATTAAGCAGAGACTTGAATTTCTTCATACATAAACTTGTCCGTTTTGAAAAATGCTTTGAATAAAATATCATATCAGAGAGGAGATGCGCTTTTCCTGTGCATAACTTCAGCTGGTTTCAATTTTCACGATCAGTGGTGGCAGGTTTGTATAACCTGTGAGTGTCGTCGGTTGAGACACAGGGGTACTTTTAACATACAAACTGTCGTAGATATATCAACAGTCGAGTAACGTGACAATATAAGTGAGTAAGTGAGTGATTTGGGTTTAACGCCGCTTTTAACAGTATTTCAGTTATATAACGGCGTGTCAGCTTAATGTGGGAGGAAAGCCCTAAGTGATGCAGGTCTCAGACGTTTACCACTTCGGTGAAACCCACGAGCACGAGTATGGTGCTGACAAACCTAGAAACATAATCGGGGCGAACCGAGATTCGAACCCACAATTATAGATTTCTGGCGTGTCCAAGGGACGCAACTCTGCACAGCGAATCGCGGCGCCTTAGGCGACTGGGCCACCCGTGACCCCTGAAAATATAAGGCATCCCCCAATTGAATTGAAATTACATACATGCATGAAGTAAAGTGTATTGAGAAGATCAATATATCAACATAATCAACACTGAATCGACAATCATACCGCGAACGAGAATGACATCAGAGCCCCTCAAATTTGGGTGTGGTACAAAACTTGAGCTTTCAGAATAATGGACAATAGGCAGAGTACATAAACAATCACTCACGTTCAATAACAAGTCATTAGTAGCGTGTGTGACCACCAAATGCCTCAATACACGCAAAAACTCTTCGACGCACAGAAAAAGTCAGTCGTCTGATGAGGTCACGTGGGATTTGACGCCATTCCTCTTGGAGGGCCAAGATCAGTTCTTGCCGGTTGGCTGGAGAGTGTGGTCGTTGTCGAACACGACGATCCATCAAGTCCCAGAGGTGTTCTATGTCGGGTGAGCGTGCAGGCCACGGCAGGTCGTTGATAAATGACACCACGTGGCTGCTGTTGGAGAAATGGTAGGACAACTGGACGAAGAATGTTATCCATGTAACGCTGAGCTGTCAAGTTTCCGTCAACGATGACCAGCGGTGTCCTCTCCTGCCCACAGATCCCTCCCCACACCATGACACTCCCTCCACCATATGGTACGACCTCCTGCACGCACCACGCCGCCGTTCGTTCACCCCTTCGGCGGTTAAACACGTTGTCTTCCATCAGCCCTAAACATACAGAATTGACTTTCGTCAGTGAAGACAACCCTCTGCCAGTCACGTCGTTGCCAACGTCGTACAGTCCGGTCCCATCTAAATCGCAGACGACGATGTTGCGCTTTCAATAGCTGTCCTCTGTATGGTCTAAAAGCCCTGATTCCATGAGCCCTGAGTCTCCTGGCCACTGTCTGTCGACTAACCCTGTGACCTAAGGCATTTGTCGCCGATGACGTCACTGTCAGGAAGCGATTTCGGAGGTGCAAGGTACGCAAGTACCGGTCATTATGGGGCGTGTTCACCCTGGGTCTGCCTGTTCTTGGCCTGTCAGCGGTCCGCCCTGTCTGTCTGTAAGGTTGCATCAAGTTGGTAATGGCAACACGGGAGCAACCGAAGGTTCGTGCAATATGGCGTTGGTGGCTCCCATCTGTACCATACCCAAGGCTCGTTCACGTTGTTCGACTGTGAGTCGTGGCATTTCTTTTGTGTTTTTTATCACTGTGGATGTCTGACTTGCCGTTGCAATCGTTTTATACCCTTACCCACACGTGCATTTGCAGTTGTCCGTGGTGCACGTATTTTTCACTTTTTCGCGTGTTATCTATAACATGTAACAGACGATTAACATTTTCTGCATACACTATTTACATCGAAAAAAAAATTATGCTTTGTCTGAATTTTATATTTTCAGTTTACTATGGTACCAGTGTTTCCTGTACGATTAAAGATCAATCACATTTCATAACGACTAGAACCTGTGAATAGCAGTTGAATTCTTTCTTAATTCAACGCCCACAGAAGCTAAAGATATGTGTATACTCGACAAATATATTCTTGAAATTTACCTCTCACAGTAAACATGGACGCAAAGAAGAGAGTCGCCATTGTTGGGGCGGGCATTTCCGGTTTGGCAGCCATCAAGTCATCTTTGGAAGAAGGATTGGAGCCTGTGTGTTTCGAACAATATGACAACCTTGGTAAGTTAGTGCAAATATGTGAATGTGGATTCAAGTGTGGATATTGGAATGTGGGAATATGGGTTCAAATTTGTTTTAACCCCCTGGATGACACAAATGTCCCTCCTCTTCAATCCTCACTTTGAAGACGAAAACATTCAAAATATACTGGCGGCAAAAGTTGCAATACTGTGCTTCATGTGAAGTGTTGTAAATGTTATGTTATTCGTCTGATCAATGTTTTATCATGACAAATTCACTGACAAAACCCATACTTGATTTTGGGAGACAGAGCGACACGCCCTGAACGATGGGTGGTGTAACAACTCAATTAACAATGTCTACTTAGGATAGAGTTCCATAGAACTATCTCCCTTGTTCATCAGACAACTTTTAAATGCCACTTAAAAGAAGTTATCAATATCAATATCGCGTGACCATCATTTGCGTTGATACACGCGAGGCAGCGGTGGTGCATTGAAGACACCCATATGTGACTAGATGGTTGGGCCTTGGAGGAGTGTTACCAGCTGACTCTGGTCCATGAAGCGTGTTGCCACCCCATATCATTAAACATCCACCCTCAAACTAACGAACTAAACTGTTCTCCTGGACGCCCGTTGACCCTTTAACGACCATCAGAGCTGTCCAGATGAAACCTTGACTCATCTGTGAACAATTGGGCGTGAGCTGGACTTCGGGGCCGAATGTTGTGCTCCCTCAACCGGTTGCTAAGGTTCTGTCACTCACTGGTCTCAACAAAGTAATTGTCCGAGCTGTTAATGAGGCAGTTTGGTATTAATTCCTCAGATGCCACAACCGAATATGGTTGTCTTGTTCACGCGATGTCACATGTGTAAGACCGGCCCGTGGCAAGTCATGAGTGTTTCCTACTGTAAATAACGTCTCCTGTTTCGAGCACACCAACGGGGTGCATGGAGGTTGATTTTCAGCTAACTGTATCATTCGGTAATCGGTATTTACGGTTTAAGTGCAGCCACGAGTGAAAATATCTCACGAGATAAGAGAAACATGATATTTCACAAGACATATGAAATATCCAGTTTATTATATACTTTCTGTAAAGTTGTCAACCGGAAAATAAAATTATTTCATGACAAATGTAAAACCTTGAAATGTAAATTGTCCCTACCTATCGCATAAAAACTTTTCATCACACCCTGTAATTGCAGCTTAAACAAAATCTTAAAAAATATAAACAAAAGCAACAAATATATTTGAGGTTAGTAAAATGGATTTGGATATTATTAAATACAAAATCAACTTCAACCTAAACTAGCCTTGAAATCTACGAAACCGTTGTTAGAAAGTAAATAAAACACGCTGGTTAGGTAACAACAGGCACTTTGCGAAAAAAACAGCCTCGATTGACGAGTTAAATGTGAAATTTACAGTTCATAAGGAAACATTTTCAAGAGAATAGCAAAAGTCAAGAAGTGGTATTAAAGCCACAAATGACCATTTGACATTATTTTTTTATAAAGGGCAGATAATTTGCGGAGAGGAAACTGTGAAAGTGTTATGTTCGCTGCAGTGAATTAAGTGTTATGTTCACTGCAGTGAAAATATCACTTTTCACAACTTCAGAAAAGTCAGTGTTTCATGCTTATGCCCATTATATATAATAAAAGTGTAATTTACTCTGGCGATAAACATTATCTTTTAACATTTTCAGACATGTGGATGTTATTGAGTATTTGATGAGCGCAAAAGGTAAGCACATTTGAATCTCTGTCAGACGCCAGACACCCTCACATCTGACAGGTATATAATGTGTATCTCCAAATTAGAAAATGTTTATAAACGCATTGAATTGTTCAGGAGGTGTTTGGTACTACACGGAGGAATACAGGGAAGGTCAGGGCGCAAGAGCCTTTGACAATCTGACAACAAATATCAGCAAGGAGATGTTCAGCTTCAGTGACTTCCCCTACCCTTCCCACTTTCCGCCATTTCTTACGTGCAGTATGGTCCACGACTACCTCCAGAGCTACTGTGAGAATTTTGGACTCGGCAAACACATCCACCTCAACACCAAAGTCATCAACATCAGGAAGTCACCTGACTACAACGTTACAGGAAGATGGGAGGTAGAAACGGAGGAATCCCAGAAGACTCAAAGGGATATCTTTGATTTTGTCATGATCTGCTCAGGTTTCTACAAGAAGCCTCGATTCCCTGACGTTGAAAGAATGGATACTTTCAGAGGAAGCATTGAGCACTCCATGAAGTTCAAAGATGCTTCAAGATACGAGGGCATGAACGTACTTGTTGTTGGTGAGGAATGTGTGTTGCAATTGTAAAGCATATATATCAGTACGATCTTAGCACAAGATAATCATAGTCTATGGGATCTTGGAAGGGTCATTGTCGTACTGCCACTCTGTCGCCCTTTACAAAAACTAGCAAGATGTGTCAAAATTAACCAACGCATGACAATGCAACAATGCAACATTTTGACCATTTGTTGCATCATGCTTTGGTTAACAATGACACAGTTTTGGCTGTTTGTTATGGCAACAATGCTAAAATGCGACAATGTCCCTTCCATTGATTCCGTACCCATCGGTGATTCCCAGTACATCATGACCGTCGCTAGAGCCATCTTATAAGGGTCTGGTGGTTACACTGTGTGAGCATGTTGTTTTGAATACCAGCACGATCTTAACCTACAACATAATCAATCTTGAAATACTAGTATCCACTAGTATCTCGCTCTCACAAAATCAAGCAATAAGTATCAAAATTAACCGAAGCATCACAATGCAAGACAAGAGCGCGATATTTTTAACTTTTGTCGCATTGTTCGGTTTTGATTAATTATGACCCATTTTGATTGCTTTTGTGAGGGCGATGACAAAACAATTTTCCTTCTTGGATTCCTCACCCATTGGCTATTCCGGGGTGTCACCAGTACATCATGCCTGTTGCTGGAGCCATTTTATGAGGTTCTGGTGGTTACACTGTGTGAGCATGATGATGTACCACCGTGTTGGTTTACCTGGGTCAGACTCGATCATTTACAGACCAGGGTGATGTGGCATTACTATGACTGACTTCGGTTTAAAACAACATGCACTCTCTCAAAAATAAATCTTCATAACATGTTACTGTGAAGGTAGTTTGTTTGAATAATTAATCATGATAGAAATGCCGCTTGGTTCACGTACATGAGATCATACATGGAAAAATGGCTATAGTAATCGAAACCTTTGAAAATAGTTATTCTGTCTTTTTCCATGTTTTCAATTTTAAGGAAACTCAAATTCCTCTGGAGATTTGGCCGCTGAGTCTGCACGCTACGCACATCAGGTATGCTGTGTTCCAACGTAATGTAGTTAGTTATCCGCATGTGAAAAAAGGTTCCGTAAATTGTAATTATGGCTTTGCAGTCTCATAATTACTACAAATGTATTGTGTAATTAAGACTAAAGTATCTCATTATAATGACATAACATGTATTATTAGTATCTTTGACTGAAATATCTGCAATTAACATTTATCCTGAATAATTACGTCTTTGCTTTCTCGTAATTATCACATACAATATTAGAATTACAATAGTATTTCCTAAAAACGACTTATCATTGCACAATTCCGATTAAACACAGTTCCAGATCTAAAGCCTTGTTTACATGTAATGTAACCCTTCACTCCAGGGCGAAAATTTGCCTTTGAGGGTCAAATTATCTGTGGAGCTTTGCCCACTACGACATTTATACCCCTGAGTAGAAATTTTCCCAAGTTTACCCATCAGGGCAAAGATACCACAGTGGGCAGTGGATGAAAGCTTATTTCTTAAATTCTACACCAAGGTCATTTTATGATATCGTTTCACCACTTTTTAACAATGAGACTGTCCTGCCCAGATATCTAAATCTATACTTTACGCAAGATCTTGACTTGGCATTTCGAATACTTTCCCTGACTGATTGCGGCAAAATGCCATCAAAACCAAAGTAGCAAAGAGGGAATATGTGGTCTGATGATGGAACCATGTGTCTAATTTGGAAATGAAACTCTGACCAAATCCGGACACAGCTGGAAAGTGCATCCAAACCAGACACGGCTGCTGGAAAAGTCAACATGACAATGAAAGACAAGCGCTATGATAGAACAGCTATTGAATGCAAAGAACGAACCAAGAGGCAGTGCAGATATAAACGTAAAACCAGTGGCCAGTCATGGAACTACGCAAGGTGTATACTGAGATAAACAAAATATTGGATTCGAGACCTGCAACATCAGCTTGAATGATCATTTAAAGTCTGATCAGGCAACAGGGGCCATCAACCATTGACAATTCATCTGATAATGAGGATCAGGCCAACATTGAAGAAGATGACCCTCAACATGACAAGGAAGAAGATGACGATGGGCTGGATGTTGTCTGATAACACTGCTTCTCGAAGTGAGTGAGTGGGTATGGTTTAACGGCGCTTTTAGCAATATTCCAGCAATATCACGGCGGGGAACACCAGAAATGGGCTTCACATATTGTACCCATTTCGGGAAACGAACTCGGGTCTTCGGCGTGACGACGAACGCTTTAACCACTAGGCTACCCGACCACCCCTGCTTCTCGAAGTTGAAATGATGAGCATACTAATGATGCTGACAATGATGGAACAGGAGTACAGATAGGCTTGGACCAGGGAACTTTAAGAAACTGAAACAAAGGAAAGAAAAGAAAAAATCGATTAGAGAGATAAGACTCAAGTTGGTGATGGATTAATTGAATTAAATCAGAATTGGAGAGAAAATGCTTCAAACATGAAGCGAGCAATAGGGATGACGATTGTGAGAACTTGACAAAGAAGAAAAATAGCACTGCTGACAGAAAACACCTGTTGCTAATGTTGGAGATGGTTATGAACAGTCTACAGGAAATTTACTCCAAAGTCATCACGACAGTGTCAACTCCCTTAAAATTGATCCAGGGCATTGTGCATATCCCAACACTACTCACAGTACAAATGCGGGAATCTCTTCACAGGACATCACCAAGGATAGGTATAGGACATAATGTCTAGGGATCAGTCACACGATGTATTTGTTTTAATGAGGTAAGGGTACCACAATCCTCAAATAATTGAGCATCTTTCATGATTTCAAGAGTACACTCGCTTGTTCATCGTTTATGGATGTACTCGACTTTTATATGTCAATTTCAACACTTATGCGACGACGTCATTCTATTGTTTGAACCTCTATTACTTTTTAGGAATGGACAATTTGTTTGTCAAACCAACATTTAATTTAATTTGCACTTCACAGACAGAAGTATATTTTGCTAGGTTTAGACAAGTAAATGATTTCAAATTTTCTCAGAACATGTGTCGCCAATGGAGTTTGAACCCGTATTTAATTGTTTAATTGTTAATCAGATCTGCCGACATTTGGCAGTACGATGTGAAATTAATAATTAAATATTTTCAAATAATTGCCTAATTCTTCATGAATGCTTACAAAATAATATGTTTGTAATGTTTTGTTACAGCTGGTTACCTATAACAATGATTATATATAAAGCAATGAAATAACCTATTGACGAAAGAAACACAGATAAGACAAATATTCTTGATCAGAGCTCTATATTTCCTATTATCCACGTCAGCATGTATTTTCCACGTGCAAGCAATTGATAAAATGCCATTTTAGGACGCCACGAAATAATGAAGAGTCGTGTATTGCAAATATCAGCTGGCAGCGCAGCTTGGAGAACGTGCAACAGCAGCAGAGAACATATTCCTTGTGCATCAGTGTAAGAGTAGGGATGTGTTTAAGTAGGGAAATATCCTCGTCACTCACTTTAAGGAATGCAGGGTTACTCGGTCATTCCTCTCTACAGGAAACAGTTGACTTCATAAAACAAATTCAGTATCTGTTGTGATTTAAATTAAGTAAAGAACCAAATGAAAATGATTTATTGATGCACTTACATTCAGAATGCGCGGCAACACTGATGTACACTGACCCTTTTCACTAGATACTATTGGCAGCAAACTGGAGAGTAAGTGCTTTAAGTGTAGCTGCTCCACTGGTTGCCACAATGCCTGTGCAGCTCGCATGGTTGGTCAACAAGCAATGCAAGGACTTCTTTCAGCCAGTTGGCATCAAATTCTTAATTCTCAGTTTCGTGAAAATTTGCTCAGTGCTCCAGCAGGTGTAGTAAGTTTCAGGACAATGTTGACATCAACATCAATAGAGACGTCTCCATCATCTTTGAAACGGTCAAATGTGTTCTCACTGTCATATGTGCCCTGCTCAGCCTGTAGTTGAAGTAAGCTTGATCAGCTGACACGGTTGCTCTAAGGCTGTCTGGATAGAATGGTTCACCTAAGACCACAACAGGCATATCAACTTCACCAACAGGATTATCAACTGGTATTGTTCCAATCGTAGGATTGTGGGAGAACATGTCCTTGTCGTATTGTCGCGCTTTGATTTATCTTCCTTGCATCGTGACCAGGCCACCCAACATCTATTGTATGTCTGAAAAGACGTCAATTTTTTCCCCCTTATTGCAGGATGTAAAACGCAACATCGTTTTCTCCCTTCGCCCCCATTTGAAACCTTACTGCCACCAGGAAAGGTGGGAATATAAACATGGCTTTAGATTGACATTAAATACATTACATAGTGGGTGTAGGGATAGCGAAGTTGTTAAAGCATTCGCTCATCGCGCTGAAGATGCGGGTACAATTCCAAACATGGGCACAATGTATGAAGCGCATTTCTGGTGACCACATCACAATGTTGCTGGAATAATGCTAAAAGTAGTGTGAAACCATACTGACTCACCCATACTCACATGTACATTGTAACGTTCATAACGTTCAATTACACGTGAACAAATATTCAGTGACTTGGCTCAAAACTGAATCTCTTGTTTAATCTTTATGTAGGTGTATTACAGTGTGGGAGAAGGTATGTGGATGGTACCATCGTGTGTGAAAAACGGGATTCCATACGATTTAGTTCTTCTCAAGAGGTCCAACATGTGGAATGCTTCAAAGCTTTCAAGGATGACGGCAAACATGTGCAATGACCGACTTGATCATGTTCTTGGCGGACTAGGCCCGTCTACGCCCCCTTCAAGAAGCAGAGTAATGGTGAACGATAAAGTCCAGTATAATATCATGAGTGGAAGGATTAAAGTTGTCAAAAAACTCACTCGTCTTGGACCCCATGAAGCTGAATTTGACGATGGCACTATCCTCAAGAACTTGGATGCCATTTTATTTGCAACCGGATATCACCTCGCCATAGACTTCCTTCAGGAATCGTATAAAGAGGGTAAGAATGGTACAAGTATAACACGTATGTTAATACTTGAACCTGTGTACATGTCATCATAACTATAGCCAGCTTGTTGTCCTGTTGACCATGATCCTGGGTTGAAAAAGACATTGCCTCTCCTCCAAGAATAAAAAAGTATGTCTTGAAGCAGAGACCGTAAATTTCCTTCCATCTTTAATATTTCATCCCCTTTAGACGCGGATTATATATGCTATGTAAATCAAACATTTTGTTATTTTCACTTAATCACAGATACAAAATATGGTAAGTGTTTTTAATAGAAGAATAGTAACATATATACTGAACCGCAAAAGAAACGTCACCATGGATAGATATATGAGAAACCTTATTTGTCCAAACACTGTAAATATACTTTGAGACATATTAGAAAGATGAAATTGACAAAACTGATCATCAAGGTTGAAATGAATGTGTCAAATGTTCTATAAGTGAAACACAACACTAGTCTCTGAGAAAATGGCATCACAAGTCAGTATCTCGTGTGTCCGCCATGTGCATTGATGACTGCCGTGCAACGTCGATACATGGAATGGATGAGGCGGTTGATGAAGGCCATAGGCACTTGAGCCCACACTCTGAGGAACGCCTGACGCAGTTCAGCTGCAATTGTCGGCCTTGGTCGGACGTCATTCAGCCGTCTTTGAATCTCGTCCCACGGGTGCTTAATCGGATTTAAATCGGGACTGAGGGCATGGTTCTGATGTCATTCTGCTGGAGGAAGTCTCTTGTTGCTCTCGCAATGTGGGCACAGGCGTTATCATGCTGAAACTCGTGGTTGTGGCGACGTGTCAATGTCGTCTCAAGACTTGATCAATGTACCGAGCTGCTGTGACAACACTGCCTCTCCCTGGACCGATGTTCTGGAAGACCACAGGGCCGACCCTCTGTGCAAGACCAATTCCACCCCACACCATGATACTCGGACGACCCCACGAGTCTCTCTCAACAACACAAGCATCCGAATAACGTTCCCCTCGGCGTCGCCAGACTCTCTCACTCTCTGTCATCTGCTGTTGAGATACAGTAACGGCTCTCGTCTGAGAAGAGGACTCTTCTCCACTGCTGGTGGTGCCAATGCTGGTGCTGTGTTGCCCACTGAAGACGGTCCCGGTGATGACGTGGTGACAGAATGGGTCCTCAGTCTGGCCTGTGACAGTGGAGGAGTCTGCTCATCAATCGTCGACGCACAGTGTCCGCACTAATGTTTCGCTGGTGTGTCCCCATGGTCTGCAGTTTCCGCAGCAGTAACAAAGTGATTTTGAAGATGCTGTCGCACAATCTGACGATCCTGACGTCGGGGGGTGACCCTTGGTCTTCCACTACGTGGTCGGTCATCTGTAGTGTTGGTGGTCTGGTACCGTTGCTGGAGCCTGTATATGGTCCTTTCGTGGACTTGAAATGCATTGGCTACTTGACGGGCGGTTTGTCCAGCTTGCAATCTCCAAGGGCTTGGGGTCGCTGATTTGGCATGTGGTAGCAATTCAAAAACGAATGAATGTTATCCGATCTGAGTGGATTCTTGTAGGGCAAGAAATGGGGGAACGCAAGGGCATTTCAATTTGCAAGGAACTCATGTCCAACGGGTTACCATGGCCGTTGCTCTGATGCGTTTGGGCGATCGGTTTTATTGTTATTTGCTTTGTTTGTTTATCATCAAATTTCATTTTTCCGGGTCAAGGTAATGTAAAATTTTAGAAACTTTGACAAAAATTACCCAGATATTTAAATGACAACTTTTCATGCAATGTTACTTGGGGTGACGTTTCTTTTGCGGTTAGTATATTTGCAATGTTTAAATCTATTAATCACTGACAAAACTTTTGTGCAAATATTACAAGCCACCACTATGGTATACTCCCATCTGCAGATAATGGCAAGCTGAATCTGTACAAGATGATGTTCCCATTATGGCAACATCACACATTGTCGCTGGTCGGCTGTTTTGACAATGATGGTTCCTTTCCGCCAATAACTGAGCTACAGGGTCGTCTGGTCGCCAGGGTATTTGCTGGCTCTCACAGACTGCCTTCCTTGGAAGTCATGGCGGATGATGTGGAAAAGACAAATTCATTTGTTCTTCAGAGATTTGGGCGCTACAAATATCTGGTAGGTAATATATTTAAGTGATGTCACGTTAGCCAGACAAAAAAGACCTAAAACGGTTATTTTAAAAATATCCTGGTCGTGAGTAATTGAGTTAATACAACATATGTTCCCTTGTTAACCTGTTCACTGCACACATAACCATGACTTTGCCAATTGAACGTTTTCTGTAATTTCGAACCTGTCCTCATCACATTGAATTTATTTATGACCCAGTAAAATATATATTCTACCTTCCAGATGCCATGTATTATATATAGGGATGAACTGGCAGCGGAACTGGGTGTTGCCCCGTCCTGGTGGGACCTGATCAAGGCCGGACCCCGACTCGCCTACCTGTACTACTATGGGCCTGCCTTCCCCTATTACTACCGGCTGTGGGGGCCTCATCCGTGGCGTGGTGCTAGGGATGCCATCAACAATGCACTAGAACATGGTCACTATGCCAAGCAGGTGAGGCATGTCCAAGGACCGGACCTTGAGGGTTCCAGCTTCATGCTAAGATTCCTTATTGTGTCTGTCCTCGCTGTCTTGCTGGCTATGATGTACAATGGTTGAACTTATTCCTTTTAAAGATGCTCAACGTCACGACAAAGGACACCAAGAACTTAACACATTTATTCCAGATGATACTGAATATTTGCGCTCCATTCAGTGATCAGCTGACAAGGTTAGACAAAAGGACAAAATGACCATCCATTGAGGTTAAGCTGTCTGCCACAGAATTGAGATCATTTTTAGGATAGTGTGTCCTGTGTGTCATGATTAGCAACTGTCTGATCCCGTGTACCGGGTATGTATTTTAAAGAAAGGCTGGTATATGGTATAACCTGGTGTATAGTCATCATATCTTCTTTTTACAATATATTTACGTACGTTTCATGCAACTGAAAATATTGAAAGTCATCAAATTAGTACTGAATCTTTCAATTTGTTTGTTTCTTGTTTAACACTACACTCAGCAATATTCCAGCTGAATGACCGTGGTCTGTAAATGTTAATTTGGGCCGGACAATGCAGTGATTGAGCATTGATCGACGCAATTGGAATACCATGGCATGCGTCAACCAATTCAGCGAGCCTGCAATTGAGCCACTTTCTCTGACACCCAGTCTTGACCATTCGACCGCTAATTCCCCTAATAACGTCTTATTTCAAAATGATATAGATGACCATCTGAAAAATTTGGACAATTTTCGCAACGTTTATGATTTATTGTTATTAGATAAATACATATTTGGGTTTCCTTAATAAAGTGGATGTACATTTAGTTTTTTGTGGTTCAAAATATTCGCAGATGAACAGTTTACTGTAACCATACAGGTATCATACAGGTTACATATTGGTCGATTCCTAATTCTACTTATTCCACATGGACGCATACCTTTAGAGATACAATTTCCGCATGCAATATATATTGTTCTTGTGTTGATTTAAATATGTTTTCAAATGTCATTCAAATTCAAATGGTAGTTCGTGACTGATGTCGCCAAATATGTCCTTTTTATCCTTACTTTCTGATACAAATTCAGTTTTAACAATGTTGAAGAATATACCTTTTATATAGCTGTCACGGTATCATGTTTTTATTTCTTGAATCAGCTAGTTGCAATAACATTCCAGCTCAAGAACTGGGTTGTTTTATATTCTGCAACAAAAGTAGGGGCTACTCGGAACAATTTAAGCGATATTAGTTCCCAGTATTAGTTGTATGATAATAACGAACAAATTTGGAACACATTGCAACCGGTAGTGAAGTACAGCAAACGATCTTGAGGACGATAGGGGTCAGATGAGAAATTTCAAAGTTGACGTTTTAGGATCAGAAGCTCACAGTCATTCACTTCACGAAGTATATGCGTATGACGAGTCTCCCAATGGCGATTTGAGGGATGCGTGGTCGGTGGCCTATGACGTTGATGCACACGTCTGTATCATTTCCCAAACGTGTTCAATCACGGAAAGGTTTGGGCTCATTGCTGGCCATCAAATTCTATGTATGTTGTGCTGCTGCCGTTAATCATTGATGATTTGTGCACGGTGAGCACGGGCATTTTCGTCCTGAAAGACAAAACGTCGACCCACATACCTTGCAAAATGAACAACAAAGGGTGTCAGTATGTTGCCCCGATAGTACATTCCAGTGACCCTTCCTATAGAAGAAGAAGAAGTCTTTATTTGTACCAAGGCCACTGGCCCATATACAATACATACATTTGAAATAGTGTGGTACATGAAAAAAGGTAATGTCAGGTACAAATTTACAGGTTTACAGGCTTTTCATAATTACGTCTTCTTTCATAGCTGTAATACAGGTATTTACATAGTTTTCCAAGTAATTGTTCACACGAAGATGACAGTAGCGTTTTAAATTTATGCATATTTAGATTATGGCAAAATGTTGTTGGTAAGTACAGATGTCTAATATCGTTGTAATATTCACATTCTAAAGTAAAATGATATTCACTCTCTATACTTCACATATGGGGCAGAGTCCTAAACGTAAGTCAATATCAGCCCATCTACCTTCGTTTACCTTTAGTAGCCCGGCTCTAAGCCTTATCAAAACATTTCGATATTTTATTTCAGTAATAATGGAAAGGTATTTTTCTGGTTCCAGGAGACTTTTAAATTATTTATACAGAATTTACCTAGAACTAGCCTTGATAGTACTATTCCATGATTGGTAGAACATATTTATCAAAACGTTTATAAAACTATTCATGAATGATGGTTTGTCGCCAACAGCTTGACTGAGCCAAACTACTCCGAATCCGTGAGAAAATAATATGGAACGAATAGAAGAAGCATAGTTATGACGACCGCACTTGTCGTTATATACAAGCATATTATAAGATTTTCTTGGTATCCTATCTTCATCCATTTCAATCAGTTTTAGCCATTACTTTACAGAACGACACATAGCATTTACATGTAGTGGGTACCGACCGCATTCCCCATACACAATAGCATTTGGGGTTTGCAAACCAACGTTAAGAAACTTCTTACAAGCCATAATATGCACTTGTTCTATTTTTTCAAATCTGTCCAGCCCCATATTTCCGCACCATATAAAAGAATAGGTTGAATTTGAGTATCAAATATTTTAAAGAAAACTGAAGTGTCAACAAAACCAATCATCCGTAGATTGCGAAATATTTCCATTAAAGCTCGTTTACCCCTTGATGCTAGATCTGAAACACATTGGTTCATCTTTGATGTATATGAGAATACAATCCCAAGATATCTATAGGAGTTGGCGGAGAGGAGTCATCGCTCAGTCATCCTGATGCCACCCAACACCATAACCAACCCACTGCCAAATCATGAGGTTTCGGGATGACATTGGCTTACCGTTCATTTCGACATTGCCAAACACGAGCACGCCCATCAAGGAAGTAAAAAGTGACTCGGGACTTATCTGAAAACATGACACATGACCAGCGACCGTTTATACGTTGTGAACATCATTGACGTCTGTTCACTTGGCATTATGACGATTTGGAAGGATGGCACACAACGCACGGCCGTCGAGCATGGAGGTGAACTGCTTGAAGACGACCGTTAGCAGCAATTCGATTCGCCGTTTAAGCTTGATTTCGTAGAGCCTGGTTTCGGATCAATCGATCCTGTGCTCTTGTCACTAACCTGGGACGCACTGAACGGGCTCGATCGTCAACATTTTCGGGTTTGGCATATATCAACGTCGCTCTATGGCTGAAATAATGCTGATGCGACATTAAATTATTACTCACTCACTCACTGCTCACTGCTGCATCGCTAGTTCATACACTGATGAAATCAAGTAAATCGCATATTAATGTCCAAAGAAGGATTTTAATTAACGGTGGTAACCATAATTTGTTCCAAGCACCTACGGTATTCGGTAATAACATCAACAGTTGATATCATAAGTCCCAAGCACGAGAATCTGATTGCACACAAGTTCAGTAGCGTGTATGGCCACCATGTGCGTTGACAACTGCCACACAACGCCTCCGCATGGACCTTGTGATGCTTGTGAACACATGATTGGGAAGACGACGCCATTGTTGCTGCAAAATGGTGCCAAGATCTTGCAGATTCTGTGGTTGGTTCTGGAGAGTGCGCAGACTTCTGCCAAGAGCATCCCAGACGTGTTCGATTGGATTGAGGTCGGGAGAACTTGACGGCCAGTCCATGACGTTGACTCTTTTGCCACTATAGTGCTGTGCACATAATTTTGATCGATTCACCTGCACAAAAACGGGTGTTATCTGAAGACAATACGTGGCCATTACTGTTTAATACACAATAAGGGCCCACAATGATAACTGGTCCAAATGTTAAAATTCTAGGATGTTTGTCGTTGATTTGGAATTAACATTTATATTTCATGATCCTCTACTTTTCAAAGATAATATATATTATGTTCATGCTTCGCGCATGTGTTTATGCTTACATGCATATGAATTAGATTACAGAATACATAAACAAACGACATCCAATGTAGCGGTTGTATTCGAATAATACCTATAATCTAGAGGTTTTTTGACTCATTATACATTTTGCTTCCCAGTTCCGATTAAAACAGTTTCTGCATCCAGCAACATGCACATCTTATAAATTCTGCTTTCCTGTCCAACACCAATCCAGGAACATACATATGCATATTTTATTAATTCTGCTTCGCTGCTTTTCACTCCAAGACCAATCCAGGAACATTCACACTTTATAAATTCTTCTTCCCCTCATCCCTATCCCACACCAATCAGGAACATGTATTTTGAAAAAATTCTGCTTCCCCTCATCCCTGTCCAACACCAATCGAGGTTCATGTGCATTTTATGAATTCTACTTTCAAAACATGCACATTTAATAAATTCTTCTTTCCTGCCCGACACCAATCCAGGAACATGTACGTTTGATCAACACTGCTTCCCGGCTTCCCGGCTTCCATGTATTGTTTTATTTTCATTGACAAAGTCTTCCTTTATCAAACAACAACAGGTGCGAAGGTTGTTGTCACAACAACATGCCCAGAGGAAACGGAAAAGTATAACGGGGGAAATATATTAACTGGCAATGGGGGATCTTTTTTGTTCCAAAGTAAAATATAACCGACGTTCCATCCTGTAGCGTCCGGTATCGTTCCCGGATCAATGTCCACTGAGACAACTTGTGACATGTGGAGAAGGCGCCAAGTACGCTACCCTGTTGAACTGTACCTTCTTTCGAAAACGGTCGTTTACAACTGAATAGTTTTCTAACAAATATTTTTTTAGTGATTATTAGTTAAGAAAATAAACATTGGTTCAGTCGTCAAATGAAACGCGAATTGACACGAAGGGACATAGCGGGAAAAAACGCCATGAAAAACTGAACATTGATACCGCATTTTCTACGTCAGAAAAAAGCAAGGCATTCCGTCAGTCTGGGGTTACATATCACATAGATGAAATAATAAATACATTCATTATATTTATCAGCCTTTGTGTTATTTTCCACGACAAGTCCTTAACTATTACAGAAATGAAATCTTAAAAAATACTTTTTAAACTACCACGGACTTCATTGTAATACGACTGGAGATGTGCCTACAGTTGCAGCACATGGATATCTTTGACAGGCCTACCACTGGTCTATAATTATTCTGCATCCGTGCCTTTAGAAATAATTGAAGAAGAAATAACGTTCAGAATAAAACAACTGATTTTAAATGTTACTACCATATTAACATTTCCTCTTACACCTGAGGGGCGGTTGGGTAGCCTAGTGGTTAAAGCGTTCGCTCGTCACGCTGAAGACCCGTGTTCGATTCCTGACATGGGTACAATGTGTGATATTGCTGGAATATTGCTAAAAGCGGCGTAAAAACCATACCTACTCACTCACTCACTCTTACATCTGATGTCATTTTGTATTATTCGGATATTTTGTTTAGAAATCTACCACATAGAAATCTACCAAGCATATTTCAACCAATCAGTTACTCGGTTGCAATTTACATTCTGTCCTCACAGTTTGAAATTAAATATTTACTCATATTTTTCGGCCCCTTATAAATTGGTCCCATCGCTTTGAGTCATGGCAGATGTGAATTTATTGATCAATTTCTTCAAAATTCTGATTTACAACCACGAAAGATAGTAGTAAATACAACAAAAAGTGAGCCAGGCTCACTTATACCCCGACCTCGACTTCAACATAATCTAAGTTCAAAACATGACAAAAAGCAATATTTGCTCATAAAATCGACTTATCGAAATCACTTATCGATTGGCAGGAAATAGAAACCGTTTTTGGTTTTCTTGAGACAGCAGCAGGAAAAGTGATAGCAGAGAGCCCAGAGAGAGCAGCAGGGAAGGTGATAGCAGAGAGCCTAGAGAGGTCGCACAATGAGTCTCGGTAATTATGTTCTATATTTTAATTTGATGACTTCTTCTTTTATCTGTCAGTCAAGGCAACACTTTGAGGACCACAGATTGGCACTATCACAATTTGCACATTAAGGACGCGCCAGAAACCTATGGTCGTGGGTTCCAATCCCGGTTCGCCCCAATCATGTTTGTAGGGTTGTCAGCACAATACAGTACTCGTTTGGTTCACCATTGCGGTAGACGTCTGAGGCATGCATCATGTCGGGCTTTCCACCCACAGTGAGCTATGATGACCTGACATAACTGAAATTCTGTTCAAAGAGGCGTTTAACCAAACACATTCACTCGCATACATTTAGTTCCAAGTAAATCACATTAACATATCACATGATCGTGTGTGAGCACTTTCAGTTTCAGGACAACTCTTTTTATGGGTTTCTGCATAAGCTATCATGCCCAATTTTGTCGCAATCTACGGAAAATGTATTACACTGAATTTCATAACAAATAAACTACTGACTCGCATGGCCCTTATGGCACGACTTCGGTGAGCTGCTAGTCTCATGGTGCCTATTAAAAGGTGTCTTTCCTGTTAAATGCAGATGTTTCTAAATTGGCCATTTTTTAATCTGCATTTCACCCTTTCTCATAATCGATGTCGGAGACAGCTGTGCACTTTATCATCAGATCACAATAAAGAGAACAGTATATGGTCGCATCATCATCTACGAATATTGATTATATGCAACCCTATACTAGCGACGTCTATTTTCAACGTTGAATTCAGATAATGTGCAAATTTACGTGAGCAATAAATAAATTACTACACTCTTCCCAATTATATCTCGTTTCTATTACAACTCGTAATTTAAGATCTACTAACAGTGTGAATTTACAGTCTTGCATGGGCACTATGCAAATATTCATTTTTATGGAATCGGTCCTACTTTTAGATTTAGGCCTGTATCTTTGGAACATTAACATCAGTCACTGTCAGCATTGAAACCTGACATAGGCCTACAGTACATGTTACATAGTAATGGGTGTATATATATTTATAAGGTAACACATTTTGAGCTTCTTAGCTTCATAGCATGCAATATGTACGTTGACAGCTTTTTCGTTTTTACTACATTCTTACTTGACATTAATGAAACAAATTTCTGTAGACTTGGAGACAAAGTAGTGAGAGTGAGTGAGTATGGTTTTACGCCGCTTTTAGCAATATTCCAGCAATATCACGGCGGGGGACACCAGAAATGGGCTTCACACATTGTACCAATGTCGGGAATCGAACCCGGGTCTTCGGCGCGACGAGCCAACGCTTTAACTACTAGGCTACCCGACCGCCCCCCAAAGTAGTAAGAAATGGTATTCATTTTTTACAGTGTTTAAATCATAAAACTGACAAATTCTGTGCTCTCTCACGATCCCATATATCTTCCCGTCTCGATAAAGAGTTCATGTGAACCACATCTGAATCTTGCAAGTGCAATTCGAAATGTTTTTAGTGTCACGTCTAATAAGTATTGCTCTCCACAGAAGCTGTTTTTAAAGAGAGAATAATTTGATAGTTTCTTTGATACTAATAAGGAAAAATGCATATTTTGAATGTACATATCTTTGTTCCTCAAACAGCTTGGGTCGTCAAAGAGGCACCGTTGTCAAACTGTTGCATTGCTAATGGTGGTTTTACCTGATACTAACTTGTGAACTGACTCCACGCCACTTTCAGCCTGAGATGACGTATACAGATGATATGTGCTGGCACTGTCATAAAAAAAATCGTTGACATCAAAATACTGTTCTGTTTCAAAATAGTACTTTTGTTTGCTCTTATTTATCATAGTGATGCACAGGAACATTTTCCCCGCTAGTATACATGGACTTTTGTCCTCACGAGCGGGCACTCACGTTGTGGTACGTCTCATCCATCTGAACAGCTTTGTCCAGTTACCTCATATGTATTCTGATAATTAACAACGCTACATATCGGTCAACAATGACTAATACAAGTGTTCCGCCTTTCAATATTGTATTTACAAATCACCACCATGTGGATGGAATATTGCTGAATGCGTTAAACAACAAACAAACAAATGTTATTGTTGCAAAGATTTCCAATTTTCCATACATTAACTAGTATGTTGAGGCGCAAGGACATTTCAAATATACAAACTATCAAGTTCGATCCCTGCAATCGTAGATACATCGACAGTCGAGTGTGATGTCAATATAAGGCATACCCACATTATATTTCAAACTTGCTACGTTTGGACCCAAATTATAACACAACAGGCAAAAACTCCATTATCCATTAACGTTCAAATACATCACATAAAACATGCTTGCCTGCAGCCACATTCAAGCTGCAATCCAAGTAGCATCTGTGACTATCAATTGATTCTATGTATATATTTATTTATTCACCACCCATGGAAGTTAAATATATGTGTGAGCTCGACTGATTCAATCTCTAAACCTATCTTTCCCAGTACAGACATGGACGCAAAAAAGAGAGTCGCCATCATTGGGGCAGGCATATCCGGTTTGGCGGCCATCAAGTCGTGTTTAGAAGAAGGGTTGGAGCCTGTGTGTTTCGAACAATATGACAACATTGGTAAGATGGTGCAAGTATGTGAATGTGGATTCAAGTGTGGATATGGCTTTGAGTTCAATTGTGAGCATATGGATGTGGGGTCATGAGTGATTTAGTGAATTTCAGATCAAGGTATGTTTGTTGTTTTAAGCCACACTCATCAATTTTCCAGCTATATGACGGCGGTCTGTAAATAATCGAGCCAGTGATTGGCATCATGAGCGTCGACCCACGCAATTGGGATACGATGACATGCATCAACCAAGTCAGCGAGCCTCACCACCCGATCCCGTTAGTCGTGAATGTGGGTGCAAGTGTGAGTATGCGAATGTGAGTGACAGTGTGAGTATGCGAATGTGGGTGCAAGTGTGAGTATGTGAATGTGGGTGCAAGTGTGAGTATGTGAATGTGGGTGCAAGTGTGAGTATGTGAATGTGGGTGCAAGTGTGAGTATGTGAAATGGATTCAAGTGTGTCTTCAGCACGACATGCAGGGTGGCTTTACGTCATGGTGCCCATGTTGATTCTTATGATCTGTGGTCTGCCAGTACCATACTCATGCTTACGACTAAGATCTGCCTCATTCGGGGGTTTTCTTCAAAATTTAAGCTGACGTGCCGTTATAAATTAATTACAGTTCAAAGCAGCGTTAGCCAAACTCGTGTATACAATTGGTTTTGAAAATGTTTGTTTCTATCTGATTTGTTCCAAAAAGCTGTTTGCCCATTAAAATAAAAATGTCATGAAATGGCCGACTGTTTAAAAGAAGGATCAGATGAAAAAAATATTGTTATTCGTCTAATGGGTAGGAGAGTGTATTTGGAACTTACGCTGTTCCCTATGCGCATTGTCAACATGCGCCATAACAGATATAATCCGAACTTGGAATATTAATAAGTTTATTGAATCAAGGCATTTTGAAAGGCAAAAAGTATCCAACATTTATGACATATTAAAATTGGTCAATATTGATTGAGAGCAACCTCGATGTTATTCTCCTCCACATTCAGTTAAACAGTCAGGTGTAACTGTTGCGGAAGCATATGACGTCATATTATTGCAACAAGTGTGTGTGTTCACGAAGAAAGAGCTCGAGTCAATCTGAAACTTTTAACAATGTCCATAAACAGTATGTGTTTTAATATATGCAGTTGTTATTACATATTTGATGCGCACAATGTCCTTCCACAAACGCTGGACATGGAATACTCAACAGCACCTGCACATCTGGAATACATAAACCTTTCTCCTTGATAGAAAACGTTTACAAAAGTATTCACTTTTAGGAGGTGTTTGGTTCTACACTGAGGAATACAGAGAAGGTCAGGGCGCAAGAGCCTTTGACAATCTGACAACAAATATCAGCAGGGAGATGTTCAGCTTCAGTGACTTCCCCTTCCCTTCCCACCTTCCGCCATTTCTGACGTGCAGTATGGTCCACGACTACCTCCAGAGCTACTGTGAGAATTTTGGACTCGGCAAACACATCCACCTCAACACCAAAGTCATCAACATCAGGAAGTCACCTGACTACAAGGTTTCCGGAAGATGGGAGGTAGAAACGGAGGATCCCCAGAAGACTCAAAGGGATATCTTTGATTTTGTCATGATCTGCTCAGGTTTCTACAAGAAGCCTCGATTCCCTGACGTTGAAGGAATGGATACTTTCAGAGGAAGCTTTGAGCACTCCATGAAGTTCAAAGATGCTGCGAGATACAAGGGCATGAACGTACTTGTTGTTGGTGAGGAATGTGTGTTGCAACTGTAAAGCATATATATATCAGTACGACCTTAACACAAGAAAATCAATCTGAAATATCCCCCGTCTATGGGATCTTGGAAGGGTCATTGTCGTACTGTGGCGCTGCCCCCCTTTACGAAAACAAGCAAAGGTGTCACAATTAACAAAAGCATGACAATACAATCATGCAACATTTTGACCATTTGTCGCATTGTCCTTGCTTTGGTAAATAATGACACATTTTGGGCGTTTATTTATGCGACAATGTCCCTTTCAGGATTCCGTACCCATCGCTGATGCAGGGGTGTCCACAGTATATCATGACCGTCGCTAGAGCCATCTTATTAGGTTCTGGTGGTTACACTGGCTGAGCATGTTGTTTGTGTTCCAGCGTTTTGGCTTGCCTGGGCCAGACTCGATCATTTGCAGGTCAGCGTGATGTCGCACTAATATCACTGAACACTGACTTTCACAAAAAGCAGGTTTGTTCCAGGCTTCTATGACGTGTTACTGTCAGGGTTATTAATTATGATGGGAATGCAGATGGGTTCATGTACATGTGTTCACTCAAGGCGTATGACGGAGAAGCAAACAAGAGTCATCAGAAAGATGACATATCCCCCCGGCAGCTGTCTGTAAAGTAACCACAAGTAAACGTACAATTCTATATGTAATGAGTCAAGAGTTGAATGTTCTTTAAGAAGCATACATTGTTACCAACAAAAGATCCACCATGGTCGCATCCATATGAAATGGAAAGTAAAACGTGTGTTTCTGTGGGTTTTTTTATGCAAACAATGACAAATTACAAGAAACAATAACTAAACAAGCGTCTAGTCAACGAAGTCATCTATACCCCCCGCCCATTTTAACACGTTATGGTCTCAAACCAGGCAGCTGACCCAACATTTCTCTTAGCCCATGTCAAAATAGCTGCAATGGAAATTCTAAAATAAACATTTCTAAAACTCCTTAATATCAAATGGCACCAGTTCAGTATGTGCTTTATATATAGACATGCAATTTTTGGCAAGGAACTATTTTACAGTTTATTTGTTATACTCCAAAGTGAACCCACCCTATATTAAAACTTAAATCCAACTTGTTGCCCTGGAAACGTAAAAAATAAAAATTTATAAAATTCCTCAATAGCAAAAGGCACCAGTTCAGTATGTGCCTGGTAGACATGCAAAGTTTTGTTAGAAAGTTTTGGATGGGTTTTGAGTTCTGCTCCGGAAACGAACTCTACCCTATAGAACCTAAGTCCAACTTGTTACCATGGAAACATAAAAAATAAAAATTTCTAAAATTCATAAATAGCAGGAACAGGAATAACTTCAGTGTGTGACTGATAGATATGCCAAGTTTCGATCAAATACACTGAATTGTTTTCGAGTTCTGCCCCGGAAAAGGAAATGATTACGGACGGACAGACGGACGGACGAACGGACAGACAGACAGACTGGCTGATCGCTATATCCCCCCCGCATTATATGCCGGGGGGGATAACAAAAAGGATATAGTTATCGAAAATCTTTTGAAAATAGTTATTCTGTCTTATTCTATATTTTAAATTTTAAGGAAACCCAAATTCCTCTGGAGATTTGGAGTCTTCTGGTGGTTACACTGTGTGAGCATGTTGTTTGTGTGCCATCGTGTTGGTTTGCCTGGGTCAGACTCGATCATTTACAGGCCAGCGTGATGTAGCATTACTATGACTGACTTTTGTTTAAAGCAACATGCACTTTCACAAAAACAAATCTTCATAACATGTTACTGTGAAGGTAGTTTGCTTGAATAATTAATTGGTTCACGTACATGAGATCATTCGTGGAAAAAGAAGGGGAAGCATGTAATGGCTATAGTTATCAAAACCTTTGAAAATAGTTATTCTGTCTTATTTCTTGTTTTAAATTTTAAGGAAACTCAAATTCCTCTGGAGATTTGGCTGCCGAGTCTGCCCGCTACGCACATCAGGTAGGCTGGTTCCAACGTAATGTAGTTAGTTATCCGCATGTGAAAATAGGTTTCCGTAAATTGTCATTATGGCTTTGCAATCTCGTGATTACAAAATATTTATTGTGTAATTAAGGCTTAAATAACTGATTATAATGACATGACACGTATTTGTAATATTTTTGACTGAACTATCTGCAATTAACATTTATGCTGCATAATTACGTCTTTGCTTTCTTGTAATTATCACATGACAATACTTTATAATAACTACCATTCATCGCAGGATTAGGATGAAATACAGCTTTAGATCCAAGGCACTGTTTCGATGCAACCATTTACTCAAGGGGCTAAATGTAACACAGGAGGTAAATGTCATCATGTAAGCACCTTTGCCCCCTAGGTGTGTCCACCCCTGGGAAGTTTGCCCCATATCTTAAGGTTGGGCAAATCATTTTACCCATTAGGGCAAGGATAAGAAAGTTGGCAAATATATCAAGGTTAAATATGTTATCATTTCACCACTTTGGGACTAAAATGCCCTGATATATAAAAATATACTTGAGTTGCCATTTGTAATACTGTCCCTGAATCACAGCAATATGCCACCAAAAGTAAAGCAGTAAAGATGGAAACTGTGGTCTGACGATGCAACCATGTGTCTACTTGGAATTCGGTCAGAGTTACATGTCCACACACAGCTGGACAGTCTGCCCAAAGAAGACACTGCTGTTTATCATAAAGTCAGCAAATGAATGAAATTCCCTTGAAAGGGTTAAACGTGTTCTCCTATGTCCTATTGGCTCTGCTGAGTCTGTAATTGAAGTAAGCCTGATCAGCTGACAGGGTCACCCTGTTTCTGTATGGTTTCAAGACAATCGGACATGGCTCTTGACATTCTAAAGTTATCTCTCCATCAGATTCATCAACGTTACAATACAATAACATTTTCTACTTTCATATGTTGTCCACAGGATACGTTTCATCAAGAAAGAGCAGGCAACACGAGAATTCAATCTTTGAATGAATCAACGATTTTTGTCACTTATGAAAAACGTCTGCATTCGCCCATGATATATGAAACCCAAATGAAACCAAACTCCCCACACTGCAGGATATTTAAACGTTCCATCGTCTTTGCCCCTAGGCTGCAGTTGTAATTTTACCCCCAAATTAACAGTTCAGAATGAAACCTTTACAAAGTAACGTTAACAACGTCCAACTGCACGTGAAGACAGACACCATGATTTGTAAGTGGGGACTGCCGGTGAGAATAGGTCTCAACTACTTCAAGCATGGCATAAGAGTTGAGAAAACATCAGAAAAAGTTGATCAGGCTAAGTGACTTGGGAGACGCTCACACCTAAACCCGATAGAATGGATCATTGCTCATGCTGTCATGCTTTCATGCTTTCAGTAGTAGGTGCCTAGTCAAAACTTGATTATCTACCGACTGATGTGATATGGCATGACTATGTTGTCTACAAGGTTAATCAACATTCACTGTACATGTATTTAAAAGTGTCGGTCTGCAGGCTCAAAACTGTACCTCTTCTTTAATGTTTATGTAGGTGTACTACAGTGTAGGAGAAGGTATGTGGATGATGCCTTCGTGTGTGAAAAACGGGATGCCATACGATTTAGTTCTTCTCAAGAGGTCCAATTTGTGGAATACTTCAAAGCTTTCAAAGATGGTGGCAAACATGTGCAACGACCGACTTGATCATGTTCTTGGCGGAATAGGCCCGTCTACTCCCCCTTCAAGGAGCAGAGTAATGGTGAACGATTAAGTCCAGTATAATATCATGAGTGGAAGGATTAAAGTTGTCAAAACACTCACTCGTCTTGGTCCCCATGAAGCTGAATTTGACGATGGCACTATCCTCAAGAACCTGGATGCCATTTTATTTGCAACCGGATATCACCTCGCCATAGACTTCCTTCAGGAATCGTATAAAGAGGGTAAGAACGGTACAATTATAACACGTATGTTAATACTTATTGAACCTGTGTACACGTCACCATAACTATAGCCAGCTTGTTGTCCTGTTGACCATGATCCTGGGTTGAAAAAGACATTGCCTCTCCTCAAGGAATTAAATGGAATGTAAGAGTGATCGTAAAATCTCCTCCGTCTCTTCGCGCCCTCTTCAGCCACGGATTATATATGCAATGTAAATTATCTACTTTGCTATTGTACCACCGATACCAAATCTTGAAAGTGTTTTAGTGGAAAAATAGTTTCAATCAATTAATAAATAATGATACTCTTATGCAAATGTTACCAGCTACTTCTATGTTACATTCCTATCTCTAGATGATGGCAAGCTGAATCTGTACAAGATGACGTTCCCTTTATGGCAACATCCCACATTGTCACTGGTGGGCTGTGTTGACATTAGTGAATCCTTTCCGCCAATAACTGAGCTGCAATGTCGTCTGGTCGCCAGGGTATTTGCTGGATCCCACAAACTGCCTTCCATGGAAGTCATGGCAAATGATGTCAAAAAGAAAAATTCATTTTTTCTAAAGAAATTTGGACGATACAAATATCTGGTTGGTAATATATCAGAGATGTCACATAAGCCAAACAAAATAAAAAACCTAAAACATTTATTTTTAAAATATCCTGATCGTGAGTAAATGAGTTGATACAACATATGTTCTCACGTATAACCTGGTCGCTGTGCACATCACCATGACTTTGCCAATTGAATTATATGTTGTTTCAGAATAATCGTCTGTGACTTCGAACATGATGTTCCCACATTGAATTTATTTATGACCCAGTAAAATATCTATTCTACCTTCCAGATGCCAACTATTATCTATAGGGATGAACTGGCAGCGGAACTGGGTGTGGCCCCGTCCTGGTGGGACCTGATCAAGGCCGGACCCCGACTCGCCTACCAGTACTACTATGGGCCTGCCTTCCCCTATTACCACCGTCTGTGGGGGCCTCATGCGTGGCGTGGTGCTAAGGATGCCATCAACCATGCACTAGAACATGGTCACTATGCCAAGCAAGTGAGGCATGTCCAAGGACCGGACGTTGAGGGTTCCAGCTTCATGCTAAGATTCATTATTGTGTCTGTCCTCGCTGTCTTACTGACTATGATGTACAATGGTTGAACTTATTCCTTTTAATCGTCACTGTCAGATGCTAAACATCATGACAAAGGACACCAAGTATTTAAAACATTTTTTATTCCAGATAAAACTGAATATCTGGGCTCCATTTGGTGATCCATCACCTGACAAGAGTGGGCTAACGGACAAAACGGCGACCCTTTGTTGAGCTACCAAGATAAATATTAACTCACGTTCCGTATATCAGGTAACAATTCGATAAGTATAGAAAGTTTTACAAAGACCGATTACCTGCTTTTTACAGAATGAGGTAAAGCTGTCTGCTTCAGAATGGAGGCCATTTTGTAAGGATACTGTGTCCTGTATCGTGTGATTAGCAACTTTCGATCGTGTGTGTGTGAGTGAGTTGGGTTTAACGCCGCTTTTAACAGTATTCCAGTTGTATCGCGGCGTGTCAGCTTAATGTGGGAGGTCTAAGAAGTGATGCAGGTCTCAGACGTTTGCCACTTCGGTGAAACCCACGAGCACGGGTATGGTGCTGACACCATGTTGTGAATGAAAGACGGGGATCAGACGCAGGTGTTGAGGATATCACTTCAAATTGAAATCAATCTTGGGTGGTTGATTAAAAAATATGTTATTTGAGTAGCTTGGCATATGTAGTTGCTTTGACAGCGAGACCTCCCATCTTCCTCTCACAGTGGATTTACGTACGTTTCTTGCAACTGAACAGATTGAAAGTGATCCAATTATTAATGAATCTTTCAATTTGATTGTTTGTTTCTTGTTTAACCCCCCACTCAGCAATATTCCGGCTATATGACGACGGTCTGCAAATAATCAAGTTTGGACCAGAAGCCATCATGAGCATCGATCTACGCAAATGGGGTACGATGACATGCATCAACCAAGTCAGCGAGCCTGACCACCCGATCTCCGATAGTCCCCTCTTACGACAAGCGTGGGTTTCTGAAGAATGAATCTTTTAGATTTGCATGGACCCACGACAGAGATGATAAAATGAGATACATTTTGTCATCAGATGAAGAATCTTGTTTACTTGAAAAGACAAAGGATACAGCATTCGTTAACATCGATGGTAGTGTTAAATAGATAACTGAAGCCACGTGTATGGCTGCATCAGATATGAAGAGAAAAGTTTGCATTAACAGACCATGTCGTTAGTGGTATGAGATCTGCAGTGAGATACTAATGAAAGAAAGATTTTCCTTGGATTTGAAGATGCTCATTTATTGCATATGCAGATATCGAACTATCACGAGACACTTGACTCCGATTACGAGTGATAAAATAAGGGAAAGCATTTCTCATCTCATCAGAAGGTAAATCAGCTGCATATGACAAAATTATTTAAATTTATTTAGCTTTTGAAACATTCTATAGATATCCTTGTACTATTTCTACAGTTAAATTTAATATTATGGTGGAAACATCATATTTTCCTGAAGACTGGGCACTTGGTTTAATCGTCCCTCTCCACAAACAAGGTTCAGTGAATGATACAAATCACTACAGAGGCATTGCATTATCGAGCATTTTCAGTATAAATAGCCACAGCCTTAACAATATAAACGCGGAAAATAAAAGCTTGCTTCAGATTGCTTGCTCTTTTACAGAAAGTTCGTAAATTTTGTTTTACCAGAAGGTTCGTAGTATTTTAAAAGGGGAAATTATGTTTTGATTTTGATTGGTTCAACAAAACTTACTATAAATATTCTGGTTCGTAAAACTAGTATCTCATTAGGTAAAGTATGTTTACTCAAAATATTTATGATCTCTATGTTCACAACATGTCTGTACGACTGCAAAACTTTTAACTAACTGTGATACCTGGTTTATCTACCGTAGCAAACCTATATATCTTCACAGAAGAAATTACAATTTTATCAACAAGTAAAGAAGTTTTATTATCTTTGATATATCTTTTTAGAAACGATACCCGCACTATGGTGTAGAGTTAACATTTTGGGGAGTAATATACAATGTAGCGTAGCGCAACTGAGACCGGGAACCAGGTTTGTTGTGTAGGAAATTAATAGACCAATCAGCGTTCGCGTCTCACGGCGGAGAAGGGAGTTTTCCAGTCGTGTATATTGCACGGCATTGGTCCACTATTTGCCCGATATCGTGTATATAGACGGTCCGCGATCTCAGCGCGACGACTGTCGTGAGCCAGTGTTAAAGTGTGGGAGTTTTGCTCACCTTACTGCTAAGATCGCTTTGTCGAACGGGGCCCTGTGCAGTGTAATATTTTGAATGAAAGGCAAGAATGAGAGGTAGTCAGTCTTGATATCGGGCCGGTTTCGTATACAAAACACCACCAAAAACGCTATGAGGAATAATAACAAAAGTTTGCACTTGCTCATTGATATCGATCAACAAACACAATCGATATTGGGGGGGGGGGGGGATTAAATGTGAATCGATGCCAAATTAAGTATATCAAATACTGTATAGTGCAAAGTTTGCCGACGGAGCACCGGTGAATCGCGACATCACTTGTCCGCTTCTAATTGCAAAGGAAGTGTACTTAAATGACATATACACTGTGTTTACAGTTGTTCACTGTCAGTTTAAAGTTTCATGTTGTTTCACGCCGCACTCTGCAATATTCCAGCTATTTGACGGCGGTCTGTAAATCAGCGAGTTTAGACCAGGAAAGCCAGTGATTGACATCATTAGCATCGATCCACGCAAATGGGATCGATGACGTGAATTCTTTTGCTTACAGATTTCTGGGTCAACTTATTATTTCAATTTGGAAGTCGTGACATTAGATAATACATGACTGGATATACAGAACGTGCATGTTTATACATGTGTCGGCCCGATGTTGCCATATTTGCATAGCCCCAGATAACTTTTTTTTAGCAATTGAGTTTTCACTCTAGGATTTCTGTTTTAATGACTAAAACAATCTTGTTTCCAACGTTCAATCGCCCTTACAAGTCAGGTTTTAGATACATAATATTTATAAGAAGCAGAATCAGGCCAAGATGTTTTTATTACCTTAGTCTTTCGGGGCTTTCAAGTACTGGTCGGCTCTGGAGTCAAGCAAAGCACATTTGCAGATGGTCAGTAAAATTCCGTAGATCCTGGAATAATACAGTTTTCAACTACTTTGTCAGTTTACATTTACCAATTTATGATCTAAATAATATTTCTACTGAAGAGTTTAACTTGTCTAAAGTATGTCTGTTATCCTTAGACCATTCTGATTGGTTACATGGACTCTGGAACGATACGGGCCAGGTAAATGGTAATAAGTTACGTACATACAGATTATTTAAAGATTCTTTATCAGTAGAACCCTATGTCAGTTTATTGATGAACAGATGTCAGCGCAGTATATTTAGTAAGTTTCGCTGCGGCTCACTGTCATTAGAAATAGAATTGGGAAGATTCACCCGCCCGAAAACACCGCTTATTGAACGTATGTGTAAATTCTGTAATTGCAATGCTGTTGAGGATGAAATACACTTTTTTGCTGAATGTTCTCTCTGTACAGATTTACGCTATGATTTATGGAATTTAGCTTCTCAATCAAATCAAAACTTTATACAGATGTCCGCTGCCGATCAGACCGTGTTCTTTATGCGGAACAATAAGGTGGTCAGACCCCTAGCCGCGCTTCTTCACCACATGAATGAGCGAAGACAACTGTGTCTTTCGTCTCTACCAGCCTAGTTCCATGTATCTTAGTATCAGAATGTTCTGAATACTGGTGATAACTGGTGATAACTCATTTTTATGTATATGTATGTACTATGATATTTCTCATTTTTACTCATATGTATGTGACGTCCTGCGTGTCTCGTAGGCCATAATGGCCGGACACTGTACACACTATTTGTGTATTTTTATTGTCACTGCTGTACAGTGTGTGACACGAAAAGAAAATAATTTTCTTCTTCTTCTTCTTCTTCACTATAAAAGCGCCGGACTCGTACAAACAGCCACCTACCCGTGTGGAGGCACGCGATATGTAACTGCAATAATCTTGAACGCGACGATAAACCCCATTTTACGTCACCTCGTTGAACATAGAAGTAAAGAGTTTCAAGAACTGCGTTCGCTCGGTGCAAACAGGCCTGGTGCATCTAAGGGACACAACTCTGCAAAGCGCATTCATGAGTTTCTCGCCTGAGGCCAGTGATCTACCAATGTCCTCTGCTCTGCTGACAAACCGCAAAGCTCCACCCTTTGTAAACAAAACACATTCACCCAATTTCAGCTGATCCCTGTGAGTAGCACAGCAAAACATAACGAACGAGTTAAGCTTGTTTCCATAATGCACACAGCGACGTAACCCGATTGGCATTCTGACACAACCTGCCAACACAAGTGTCTCATCCATATCCATATATATATATATATATATATATATATCACGTCACAAGTGTCTCGCTACTGTTTTCAACCTGCACACGCCTAACCTCGGGTCCGCGTGCTTTCGGTCTTGTTGAGAGCACGTTTCATTCATGAGCACAAGTACACTGTGGCGGTTTCACCTGACAGAACACACCCAATGAGGACGCCTTTGAAGCGGCTATGTTTAGCCTGGTAACACGTTGTGAACTGCACACAGCCACGCACAACCGACCGGTGTAATGTTGACCCACATCTTCTCCCAGTGCTGACGTCAGGACGTTCACAGTCCAGGAGGTATTTATTTGAGAGAATTGCAACGTTTTAACATTGTGTTCACCATTTTTGTCTACATCGTATTCAGTAGTCGGATGTATGTGGCCACAGCTGTCATGGCGTGTCGCCGATCGAAGTCCATGTCAAGTCGATGTGTACAACTGTCATGTGTGGTAGTTGTCGGCTCGTTGTAATTGTGTAATGTATGTTTGAAGAGTAGAGTTCAGGGGTACACCAAGTCAGTTACACACCCCAGGCCATATTTATGGAGGGAGTCAAAATCTGCATTGAATTATGCTTCTAATGTGTAGCTTCCGGGTCTATCTATATGTCAATACAGGTCTACCAGCCGTTGTATACCGTATTGCTGGTCGGACACGTACATCCCTGCAGGTGATTTATCTTCAAGGGCTGTTTGTGACAGATTAGTTACACTGAGACGAACGGGGACTACTTGGCAAATACCCCATTACGTCCATTTTGTTTTACCTTTTCGCATGTAATGTATGTGTATGTTTTGTCCTTGATAAATCTCACACGCTGCTTTTCACCACACTGCACGCCACAACGACTCATTAAAATATGTACATCTTTCTGATCGCATTCAACTGTTGATGTGCTGTTCATAACTATATCAGTGTGTATTTGTGGTCTCTTTGGACCCGTGAAGATCCGGGATAAGTGCATGTCATCGTATCCCAATTGAGTGGGTTCATGATGTCAATCACTGGATTGTCTGGCCCAGACTCTATTATTTACACACCGCCGTCATACAGCTGGAATATTGCCGAGTGGTGGCGTTAAAACATCAAACAAGCAAATTTGTGGTCTTTGGCTGGTTTGATTTATGAATGCAGCTTATGATCCTTATATGGCAAACCTGGTCATGTGTTTGTCACAGGTTATCCTTAAGGTCCCTGACTGCAATGATTTAGAAATGTCCCTTTAAACACGCTCTACTTAATGTTTGTCGTCATGTGCGAGTGAAAGAGGATGTCAGTCTTTCTTTGTTCGGTCAGCCATAGCGAATACACGCAGGACACGCAACGATGGACAAAAGCTCCGGACAAAAGCTCCGGACAAACAGCAAGGTCAAGCGTGAACATGATACTGCTTTGATGTCAGTGTTTGATGTCAATTATTATAATATGGATAATAATCATTTTGCACCGTGGGTAATTTGATAGATGCCGGTCTGTTATTAAATAGTTGCCAAATGAAAAGCTCAAGCGACTTCCAAAGTGTTGCATTGCTGGTATTTGTGGTATTAGGTCATTATTAATGCCCCTCGATTATGGAGTGAGTGAGCGAGATGGGTTTAACGCCGCTTTTAACAGTATTCCAGTTATATCGCGGCGTGCCAGGTTTATGTGGGAGGAAAGCCCGAAGTGATGCAGGTCTCAGACGTTTACCACTTCGGTGAAACCCTCGAGAACGGGTATGGTGCTGACAAACCTAAAAACATAGTCGGGGCGAACCGGGATTCGAACCCACAATCATAGGTTTCTGGCGTGCTCAAGGGACGCAACTCTGGCCAGCGAATCGCCTTAGACGACTCGAGTTAGATTTCTCAAAGGTGAGGCGAAATCATAGGTTGCAGAAAAGCACATGACATGTTTGTAGCTGTTTGTCTATGGACTCGAGGTGGGGTAGGATTCTGCTCAACTGTGTTAACTGACATATTTCTACCTACCCAGGTGCACGGTGCCACAACAGTAATCGCCATGCACCACCACGACATCCCCTTCATCGACGATGACCCTTCACAGACCGGGCCAACCGAGAACCACCTCCACCAAAACAATTCCTCTCAAACTATCAGCACGCAACCACGCACAAGTAAGTTCAAGATGATAGTTATTCTATTGTATGGCTCAACAATGCTGATGGCGGAGTGGTTTTCCTGCATATAGACACGAAAATGGCTGACGTGAATGAGGACGTATTTGTTCCGAATTTCCAATATTTGGTCCATTGAAATGGCAATCGTAGTTTGTTTGTTCGTTTGTTGCCGCAATCAGCAATATTCCAGCTATATGACGGCGGTCTGTAAATAATCGAGTCTGGAACAGACAATCCAGTGATTGACATCAGTAATCCCGTTAGTCGCCTCTAACGGCGAGCATGGGTTGCCGAAGACCCATTCGTTTACTCACAGGTGGGCAATAGTAATTGTGCGACTCGGGGAACTTGAGTACCCAAGAAGAAGTTCCATAACATATTAATTAAATGAGTGAGTGAGTGAGTTTGGCTTTACGCCGCTTTTAGCAATATTCCAGCAATGTCACGGATTTGGACACCAGAGTGAGTGAGTGAGTTTATGCTTTACGTCACATCGGCAATATTTCAGCCATATCGTGATGAGTTGGACACCAGAAATGGGCTTCACACATTGTACCCATGAGGGGAATCGCACCCGGGTCTTCGGTGTGACGAGCCTTAACGCCTTAACAACTAGACTACCCCACCGTCCCCATATATGAATTCATTCATTGTTATGTTCAATGTGTCTGCATACGATACGTACTGTGTTTGGTATAGTTTAAAGCAGGGAGATGCGTTTAAACCATCAGTTCACCCTTGCATCATAAAATAATTGGAATTAGATACGTCATGCACATATCAACTTTTCTTAATCGTTTCTAGTTTTTTTTATTGTTCATCAACCTTGACAAATAATTGATAAATATGTAGTTATTAGCGATACAATTCGAAATTAGTTTTATCTTGTCATGGATAACCAGAGTAGGTGTTAGGGGTCATCCTTCACATGGCATCACTGGTCATCGTCGCTAATGTGTGTATGTTTTCTAACAGATGAAGTACCCCCCTGCTCCGAAAATTGCCTACAAATCGTGCCTTACGTTCGGCCGAGGACGCGGGGCTTCACCAATCTTCAATACGCTGCAAAAGAGGGGAACTTGCAACTCGTGAAGAAATTGTTGTCAGAGGGTCGAACTGACATAGAAAGCATAGGTGAATATGGGCGAACTGCAGTGATGCTGGCAGCGGAGAAGGGGCATAGAGTCGTGTTTGACGTCCTTGTTAACGCAGGAGGTGACATGACAGTGGTGGACGATGACGGCAACAACATCCTTCACTTAGCTTGTCTTGGAGGTAATGTGGACATGGTGAGGGGTGTTCTCTCGAGAAACGCTGTTGATATTAACAGCAGAGGCCAGTTTGGACGGACGCCTGTGATGGTTGCAGCAGAGAAGGGTTGTAAAGGAATGTATAACATGCTGGTCAGTTTCGGTGGAAATGAAACACTGTTTGATGAGGATGGTAACAACATCCTTCACGTCGCCTGTCTCGGAGGTAAAGATGACATGGTGAGATATATCATTGCAAAGAACATTGTGGATGTCAACAGTAGAGGCCAGTGTGGGAGTACTCCTCTGATGCTGGCCTCAGAGAAAGGTCATAAAGGAATATTTGACTTAATTGTGAAGAGGGGCGGCAATGTGCGGGCACTGGATGACTATGGAAACAACATTCTCCACATGGCCTGTTGTGGAGGCAATGTGAGGATGGTGCGGTATCTGATTTCTAAACGTTTCATTGACATCAACAGTAAAGGACAGGATGGAGGAACGCCTTTGATGTGTGCTGCGGAGATGGGACACAGAGTGGTATTTGAAATACTTGTTAGAAAAGGAGGCAATGTTTCATTATTGGACGATAAGGGAGATGATATCCTCCATGCGGCCTGTTTAGGAGGTAACACTGACATGGTCAGGTACATCCTGTCGAAATACAGGATTCCTGTTAACAGTAGGGGGCAGTTCGGAAGAAACCCAGTCATGGCGGCAGCGCAGCAAGGTTGTAAAGAACTGTTTGACTATCTTGTACGAAAAGGAGGCAATGTGACGCATATAGACAATGACGGTAACAACATTCTTCATGTCGCATGCATAGGAGGCCACGTTCAGATGGTACAACATGTCCTCTCGATGGGGTTTGGCATTGACATCAACAGTAGGGGCCAACAGGGGAAGACACCGGTATGGGTTGCAGCACAGATGGGACCCAGAGATGTGTTTGACTTTCTGGTAGGTGAAGGGGCTGACATTTCTCAAGCGGATGATGACGGAAACAATATACTACATGCTGCATGTCTTGGGGGTAATATAGAGATGGTGAGGCACATACTCGCTGGGAATATTATGGATATCAATGCCAGGAATAAATTCAACTCGACGGCAGCAATGCTCGCCAACACAGATGGACAACGGTTAATATTCGATATTCTTGTTGCTCACGGATGTACAGTAGATCTAGAGTAATACATAGGGTGTCCCAAGCGGGTTTTGAATGTTTATATGTTGTAATATTAAATAACATGATATATGTAATACCAACATATGACACATGGAACGTATTGATGTTTTTGCAGCCGAGATGGAGCGATCGGTTATGGTCGTTAAACATCAGTGAGCAACACTCCAGCAATGTCAGGGCAGCCTGTCTATATTCTATATTCTAACCTGGTGATGCAAATCGCAAGTATCGATCTGTCTGGATGGATATTGTACGACTGGTAAACACAAGTGACTCACATATAATTACAAACTTGATGGCTTTTGGTGACAAAACGCCATATGTCGAAGACAAGGTCACTACAAAACGCCATCTGTTGTTTGAAACACTCTACATTCTATATGGCGAAACTATATCCATGGCAAAACTATATCCATGGCAAAACTATTTCCATGGCTAAAGAATATCCATCGGGGAGTGATACTCCGCTTGGCGAAGAATATGTCTTGTGATGTGTAAATGCAAATAATAACGATAAGCCATCGGGAAATATAAACTGACAGATCCAAAAATCAACAAAAACAATCAGAACCCAATCAGGTATCTACAAATAGAATTAAGCATTAGTCCGGTGTTGAACCGTGATTCAAAGTAAAGCGCATGCGATGTCTCCTTAGGCAAGTGACTTTATTCGAATCATGCCTCTCTTCACCCAGCAGTGAATCGGAACCCGGTAGGATGAGATGGTAGTGAGTGAGTGAGTGAGTGACTTGGGTTCAACGCCGCTTTTAACAGTATTACAGTTATATCACGGCCTGTCAGCGTAATGTGGGAGGAAAGCCCGAAGTGATGCAGGTCTCAGACGTTTACCACTTCGGTGAAACCTACGAGCACGGGTATGGTGCTGACAAGCCTAGAAACATAATCGAGGCGAATTGCGGTGCCTTAGACGACTGGGCGTCCCGTGCCCCCAGATGGTAATGTGTCTGTTAAGCTTACTGCGGCTCACAGACAGCTTGGGTTGTATACTCCCCGGGGAGCTGAGAATGAGTGCAGACTGATCCACTGACTATCATAATAACGTAGTGCCATGAACATTCACTTGGTGAATGAAATGAATTCGAAGGTTGGACTAAGGTGAAAAACAAACATTCCTCAATTAATACCAAAAAGCGACTCGACATTTGGGCCAAGCCAGGGTGTCACTCGTGATGCTAATGCGTGCACTTCGGAGACTGCGTCGATCCCGCCTGCTCTGACAAACCTACAGAACGACGTCCAAGCAACATTGTGAGAAACGAATTAAACCTGTCCCCGCCATTGACATTGTGATTTATACCCCTGACTTCCAAAGGACATGAAAAGCACACGGTCGGATCTTCTCCGTTCACTTAGCACATTCCTAACCGTCAACGACAGCTGTGCATACTGAAAACGTATAGTATCATACAGTAGTATAATGTCATGTAGTGTCAACGCTGTATGCATAATGCGCTTGCCTCAGGTGAATCGTATCTATTCATACCACACATTGATGTTCATCTATAGACAGGTGTGATAAGAGCGTATATTATACCATCCCTAGACTTACATCTAGTCTCTGAAAAGAATATAGTGTACAGAAAAAACCCGTTAAATTATCTTCATGATATATAATAAAAAAGGAGCCCCGAGACTCTTCATAAACTGCAGTAATCTAGATTTGCCCACTATTATAGACTTGCATGGGTTTTATCGGATATATTTGTTTAAGGGTCTGTATGACAGAATACACCATTACAAATATGGGTAAATGTATTATATACTGCTCAAAAGAAATTCTTTTGAGTAGTATATATATTGTGACTAACAATACGTGGGTGGGGGTCACCGCAAATGTAATACCGATTCAAACGGGACAATGCTTATCAAAGATAGGTTAGAGAGGAACGTTACAATCGTGTGTTAAATATCAAAGAAAGCATGGCCAACTCGAGGTGGTTGTATTCTCAACTCTGTATACCTAGAGCGCCATATCATAGCAGGCAATGGGAGTCGTATATAATTTAGAGGCGAGGGATTTTATGCCGCTTTGTTCAATGACAAGGGATATCGTGATACAACAGACTGTTTCCAATGTTTACTGTTTTCTTGTTCTTATTTTATGCCAATAACGATTTTAAGTGTGTACCGAACTTGAAATGAGAGACGATTTTTTAATCATTCCGTGGAGTATGATACGAGAAAGTATCGAAAAGGCAAACGAGTGTTGTACATTGTACACAGGAGCTGACGAACAGATAGTCTTCCTGCATGAGAGCTGTGATTAATATCTTTGTTTTCCGTAAAGTACCCACGACCCGTGATATGGACCTATTTATTAAAATAAAAACTTTCGATTTTGGCGTTTTGCTGTTTGTTTTTTACCGCCGCACTCCGCAATATTTTTGCCATATTACGGCGGTCGGTAAATAATCGAGTTTGGACTAGACAATCCAGTGATTGATATCATGAGCATCGATATCTACGCAGTTGGGATACATTGACATGCATCAACCAAGTCGGCGAGTCTGACCACCAGATCCCGTTAGTCGCCCCTAACGGCAAGCATGGGTTTCTGAAGACCCATTCTCCCTCTCCCTCTCTCTCTCTCTCTCACACACACACACACACACAAACACACACAGACACACACACACACGTGCATGCACGTCGGTACATAAGTGCAGTAATCTTGAACGCGACGTTAAACCCCATTTCAACTTTTAGTGTTACTAAGCAGTTTCTTAACGTAACTAACGATTCTCCTGGCGTCAACGTGTTAAAGTGGGCGTTTGGCACAATGCGACGACACACTACACGTCTTCATTTGTATCGAAATACTCTCGGCATCTAGTACTACATAGTTTTTTTCAAATCAGTAAAACAACAACTGGCTAACAGGTGCATCCCGTGATCTGTCTTCTGCGACTCCTGTCACAGAGCTGCCTAGCCAATGAAAATGATATTACCAATCAGCCGTTGATGTAGTTCATTATCATGATTACATGGCCTGGGTGAGGAAACATCGATCCGTAAATTCACACCCTTGTTATACTACTACAGCTTCAAAATGTCTAACATTTATGCCTAATACTCTGTTAATGAACAATTCTAACCCACCACCGTGTACGACTTGTCGGGTCTGCTCCAAAACGACTCAATAAATCAGTTACAGGTTGATGGGACCCGTGAAGATCCGGGGTAGAATAGGTCTTCAGCAACCCATGCTTGCCGTAAAAGGCGACTATGCCTGTTGTCAGAGGCGACTAACGGGATCGGGTGGTCAGGCTCGCTGACTTGCTTTATGTATGTCATCGTGTCCCAATTGCGTGGATCTGTGCTCATGATGTCAATCACTGGATTGTCTGGTCCATACTCGATTATTTACAGACAGCCGTCATACAGCTGGAATATTGCTGAGCGCGGCGTTAAACAACAAACAAACAAAGCAAACAAAACAGGTTAATGGGTGTGCAGCGGGTGGTTAGGCATTGGATTCTTGTCTTATTCTATAATAGATGTGTTTCCACTTACCTGAAACGCCAGATCTTTTATCCCAGTTTGAATATCCTCAGTAATAATTTGGATAAACACAGTCTCTCTGTCCATGGGTAAATTATTCCATTCTTTGCTCATTCGTCTATCTGTTTGTAAATGCACTTCACTGTTACTTTTCGCTGTAATATCCATCCAAATCCTGGCTCAAATGACTCACAGAACACAAATTTAAATGTTTCCATATTCCATTTGAATATCATAATTAAGTTTTGGCCATAAATTCTCACACATTCATAATGATATATCTGGTTTTGGTGTTCAATGTTCCACTGAATCACATCTTGAGTGTGCACTAATCGAATGAACTCTTAGATCACTGCGATAAACCACTGAACAGATCGCTAGCTTTGCACGCAGAGCACGTGCCGAAAATACCCGCCTGGTTGTCACGTGCAGCAGTTTACCCAGGTGACCGTGCTACTCTCAGTGAGTGAGTTGGGGTTAACGCCGCTTTTAACAGTATTCCAGTTATATCAGCGTGCCAGCTTAATGTGGGAGGAAAGCCCGAAGTGATGCAGGTCTCGGACGTTTACCACTTCGTTAAAACCCACGAGGTGCTGACAAACCTAGAAACAAAATCGGGGCGACTGGGCCATCCGTTATTTATCAAGATGACACCATGACAAACGGAACTGTCGGTAGATACACATTGATCTTTGACCTGTACAGGTCCCACGACGAATGTCATGAGGTGAGGTGAAATGGGGTTTGACGTCGCGTCAAAGATTATTACACTTGTACAGTACTTGTGTGCGCTTGCGTGCGTGCGTGCGTGCGTGCGTGCCAGCGTGCCTGTGTCTGGCTGTTTGAACTAGTCCGGACTAATGCCGATTTTATACTGCTAGCACAATGAGACATCATGCCGCAGTTTATCATGAGTACCCCACTTCCACAGAGCATACTGACCGAGCCGACCAGTCCTTGTTTTAGTCCCATAATGGCGAGCGCCAGGCAGGGTAACAACAAGTACCATCTCTACCGGAAGCGGGATAAACACCATAGAAAAGTCCACGTGTGATATGCAACTGTGTATTTAATCCACAAAAGACAAAAATAACCGGAACTACTTTTGTTGTCTATTTTAACTCCATTTTGCAAAGTGCTCTAATGACGGTGCTAGGAGACGCAACTCTAACGAGTTAGGTGCGCTGCCTTAAATCACTGAGTGACCATTGTCCCCGAATTCATTTGAAGAGAAGTCATACCAAAAAGATGGAACTTGTTGTTACACTGCCTGACGCTCGGCATTAAGGAAATATAAATGGGAATGCTCGGCACGGAGTCGACATTCTGTGGTTGATGGGAGGGGATACCATGCCGCAGTTTAACATGGATCCACCCGATCCATGTTAGTCTGCGGCATGGTATCTCAGAAGGCTAGAACTATTTGCGTGCACATACACGCCACCGTGTAAGTGCAATTATATTTCAAGCGATGTTGAACCCAATTTCGAGGCGGCGGGGAAGCCTAGTGCTTAAAATTTTCGCTCTTCACGCCGAAGACCTGGGTTCGATTACCCACAT